TGTTTCCCAGCCCAGAGTATGTGAGTTCAAACCTGGGCCAGGCATTGTGTACTTGAACTTGGTGTACCCTGTAGATTAAATAAAGTATTTAGTTAAATAATTCCCTGTAGGTTACCTGGATTGATATGCATGATGATATACTGATGAAGGCCAGAGGGCACAATGGTCGAAACGTCGTGATAACAACAACAAAGATGCAGATAACAGTCTGCATGTAAATAGTATAAATAATGTTAACTCCTAATCCCAGAAATTCAGAAAGAAAAGGATTTAATAAATATTTTACACTGAATTAAAGAATTCTGTCTGTTCTATTAGATTAAAAAAAGGAGTTGACTGTAGTCAGGATCATTGAAGCAATGTTAGTTTCACTGAAATGTCTTTCTTTCTACAAGTATACATTGCCCTATGTTGTTAATTAGTTCCAGAGGTCATGATTTAGGTAAAAAAAAAACAACTTAAGTCAAAATAACCACACTATAAACTGCAAATAAGCACTCCCCATTGCCTATTACAGTATTTATGATATGTATGTACAGTATTCTGAATAAAATAATTAATTTCCACCTTATCTTTCATTGATATAGCTTTACACTTAGCATTAGCACTTGCACTGGGACTTTTCTTTGGAGCCATTGGCAAAAATGTATTCTAATTCACAATTGAAATGTAATTGAAAGAACTTCAATGACAGTGTAGATGTAAACCAGCCTAAATTCAAAATTGGTGTTGGAGTGGAAAAACGTATGAGTGCTGTCTTTCGGCAGGAATTACAAATATGAACATCTGTTGAACATACCTTATTATACTAAATGTTTTATTTTTAATGATTCTATTATATATATATATATATATATATATATATATATATATATATATATATTATACATAATATTATTTTAAATTTATTTGAATATAATTTTATGTGTTTATTGTTATTTTAGTATTTTGACATTTCTAATATATTTAACGGTCAACATAAAATGACCTGAGGCGAGTTTTATTTTTCTATATAATATTTAAGAAAAACCAATGTATCTTCAAAAATGACTTAACTTGAGATGTCACTGTATTTTTTTAGATCCATGCATAAAAAATTTACGCAGTCATTCAAGCAACTTGAGTACTGTTTCTGGCCAAAAATTAAGTAACGAAAGTACTGATTAAAATCTTAAATTGCTTATAAAAGAAAATAAATGTTTTATGTTATTATTGTCAATAACAATATATTAGAGCATTAGTTTGGCGGTAGTAAGGTTTATTTTAATTATATAATGTCTGTTAATCGCAACTAACGATGAAAGAAGAACCTTTTGATTATGAGCCTGTTTTTTCCTCTTTTCTTTAATATCTGTGAATTTCTATTTTCAGTGTTCTTGAGAAACATAGTCGAATGTTTTCTATTTCCTTCTCCAGTTTTGAATTAAGAGTGTTTCTTTTAGAATGGTAGCCTACCATGTTTAAAACACTCATTCCTCTTTACTATTTTACCATATAGCTAGGAGCAGAAGGGAGGGACTCCTGCTTTTCTGAAGATCATTAGTACAGAGTGAATACAATAAACATTGGTCAAAATTTGTGCCTTGCTCTACCAATTGTATTTTTGTTTGAGTAATTGGTTGCCTGAAGCAGAAATAGATTTTCTTTGCGTTTTAAAAATAGACAAAAATTTTCTCTAAATTTTTAGTATTTCCATTTTTTAATTGATAAAAGATGACATTTTTATTTGTTATTGTTTATATTTTTTTTACTCTTTGTTAACAAATATTTAAAATCATCTTGAGATTTGAAATAATTTTTCTATCTTTCTCAAAGAAACAGAAATCTTATATCCTAATCATAAAAAGGTTAATAAACTGTAAAAAAACAAATCAATTAGTCTTACCAAAGAAGTCAAAAGTTGGTTAAAAGAAAAAAATAGTTCATCACATTTTTTAATTTAAAAACAAAATAATTATTATGCTTATTATTTAATGATCAATTTTAGTAGCTGAAGAATTGGTGAGTCAGGTAATTGCCAGGCATGGTATACATTTCGGTCATCATGTCATTTTTGTTATCTGACTGACTAGATAGATTTTCTTGTTGTAGGTTACCATTTCTTTTGGTCATACACTAGTTGCAAAGCAAGGCTATAGGACCCAGTCTGTCCTGCTATTCAACCCATAGCTGAGTGAGAGGAGAAAAGAGATATACATACATATATATATATATATATATATATATATATGTACACACACGCACCATTGAATGATGTACTTTAAAATGTAAACTCAGGAAATAGTGTTAAGTTCTGGAGAATATGGGGAATGTTAAATATTTTCCAGCCAAGACATTCAGTCATTTCAGATTTGATTTTTGCTGTATTGGGCATTATCATGATGAGACACCATATCTTTGCAATTGATCAAAAAATAGGCCTTTTTCTTTCAAAGAAATGTTTAATAGCTTTAACTACTGATACTCCTGAAATTATTTATGGAAGGATATTACACTAAACATTGATTATACAAAAAATAATTTTTAGTGGTAGATGTAAACAAATGTAACACAAAAAGATATATGATTGGGTACGAAAGGTGATCAGTGGTTAAGTGTGGAAATGTTTGTGACTTGTCCATGCAAAAAAAATGGTAAATGTGCAAAACAACCATAATATGAAAACTTAATCTCTCAGTTATTTGGTACAGTTCTTTGAGTTTCTGTAGCACTAGTCAATGAGGTTAAAATGGATGGTCCTCACAAAGACCTATATGCTTTACTAGCTTAAAGCCATTTTTATACCATCAATCAGAGAAAATGGTTGTATATAGCTGACAATTTAGATATTTCTGAGTTTGATGTCATGCATGATTTCCATATGAAAGTCTTTGTCTGCCTATGACCTCCATATGAAGGTCTCGGTCTGTGACTTCCATATGAAGGTCTCGGTCTGTGACTTCCATATGAAGGCTCACGGTCTGTGACTTCCATATGAAGGCTCACGGTCTGTGACTTCCATATGAAGGTCTCGGTCTGTGACTTCCATATGAAGGTCTCGGTCTGTGACTTCCATATGAAGGTCTCGGTCTGTGACTTCCATATGAAGGCTCACGGTCTATGACCTCCAATTGAAAGTTTCTGTCTATGATTGCCATATGAAGGTCTCAATCTTACAAAACTATTTAAGGATATGATTCTAGTTTTTAGGTTAATGTTTTGGTTATATAGCAACTTGTGGCATTGTGTGAAACTACACCTAGCAGAGTAACCTGATTCAGATGCTTTATATTATCATACTTGTCAAAGTATTTTCCTTTCGAGAAATGAATCTAGTAAGGGTAACTGTTAACTTTCCATGTTCTTATTTATTGATTTTTTGAATTGGTCTATCAACATCTTTTTGGAAACTCCAGAATGAACAGTAATCAGTTCATGAGAATAGCAAGAGTGTAGAATCTTTTTTTTTTTTTTTTTTTTTTCCATCAAGATTTTCAATCATTTCAGATTTGATCTATTGATCTGTATGGGTCATGATCATGATAGAACACCACATGCATGCAATTGATCAAAACTGAGTCTTTTTTTCCTTCAAAGAAGAGTTTAAATATTCTAACTGCTGACAATAGATGTCTGCTGTATTTGTAGCAAATCAAAGTTTACTATAGCAATACAGTCTGACCACACACCAAAACTATCCTTGTTCATTTTAGGCAGTGATTTTACCGGTATACTTTCACATAAACCTTTTCCATGTCATGTTGTGTATTCTTGTAAAATATCCATTTTTAATCAACAATCATTAATCTATCCAAAAATATTTAAGTGCATGTAAAAAAATGCAGATGTCTAACCTTGCTTTTTTGGGTGGCTTTGGTCACATCAGAAATTAGGTGATATTTTCTAAATTTTGGTACTTCTTCAAGTTGGTTTCAGTTTTTAACAAATTCTTCAATGATAACTGCACTATTTCTTGAGAGTTCAGAGAAAATCTGATCATTGTTAAATTCAGCAGGATGGTACATTGCTGAAGGTGTAGTTATTTTTTTGTAAACTTTTCATAACATCTTTGGCAGTTTTTTTTCATTTAAAAAAATTAAAAAAACAAACAAACAATCTTTTAAAGACCATAAATATTTTGGTTTGCTTTTGTAGCAATATTGTTTTTTTTTTTTTTTTTTTAGACTCCTTGAACATTTGATATCCGAAGTGCTTCATAGATACATCCACCTTATGAAAGTCAAATTATTAATAAAGTTGAGCAATACTGTAACAATATAACTTTGCTATTTAAAACTGTACAAACAAATACGTTTTATTATTTACGCAATATTTATAATAGTTATATCATTCAATCTATCATTCTCAGATTTTTAGATTTCTTGATGCAGCAGGAAATATTTTTTCTTTTCTTTTCAAAGAAAAGACCACTTTATGCTAGAATTCTATTTGTCACAAACAAACCCATTTGATTGCATTTTATGTGATTTAATTTTGCTGAATTGAAAGTTGTACATTTGCTTCATATTTTATTTTTAACTTTATTCCTTACACACTTTTACTCCTCTTAGTAAAACTGCCATGGATAAATTTGTACTTTGATTTCAAGTTTTAAAAAGAATGATTAGGTTATTAAATGAACAAGTTCAATTTATTTTAACATGAAGGAAATTTTATTTAGAATTGTTTCCATTAATTTATGTATTTTTTTTTTTTTGTCTTTTCATTGTAGGAAATATGCATCCATTATGAATATTCCTTATGAAGATTTGTTTTACAAAGTAAATACATTATTAAATTGCTTGGAGATGATGTTTGAAGTAGAATTATTTCGCTTAACAATGATTCATTCATTCTTGAATTTTTTTTTTTTTTTTTTCCTCTCTCCTTTATCGACTTTTCAAATATGAAAGCTTTTTCCCCTAGAAGAGCTTTGAAATGTGCTAATGGGTACTGAGTACATTACGGTTAATAATGATCATACAGAAAATCCTATTTAATGTGATTTCTTTTTCTTTTAGGTACTTGAATGTGCTGCAAGAAACATGGAACCAGAAGGAACGTTAGGTTCTCCAGTAAGTTGTCAAAAAGTCTTTCTTTTTTTTTTTATAGCTAGTCATTACACACATGCACATTAGTACAGAGTGAATACAATAAACATTGGTCAAAAGTTGTGCCTTGCTCTACCAATTGTATTTTTGCTTGAGTAATTGGTTGCCTGAAGCAGAAATAGATTTTCTTTGAGTTTTAAAAATAGACAAAAATTTTCTCTAAATTTTTAGTATTTCCATTTTTTAATTGATAAAAGATGACATTTTTATTTTTTATTGTTTGTATTTTTTTTTTTTTTTACTTTTTGTTAGCAAATATTTAAAATCATCTTAAGATTTGAAATAATTTTTCTATCTTTCTCAAAGAAACAGTGGCTCACACTTTAATAGATACAAATGTTCAGAAATCTTATATCCTAATCATAAAAAGGTTAATAAGCTGTAAAAAAAACAAATCAATTAGTCTTACCAAAGAAGTCAACAGTAGGTAAAGAGAAAAAAATAGTTTATCAGTCTTTTTTTTTTTTAGCCATTCATTACACTCACACACACAATCAGTTAATTTTGTCATTTAATATTTGTAAATGTTATTTTTTATTTTGGGATATAGTAATAAAGTTGCAAATATTATTTTGGAATGACATCTTTTATCTCCTCTTTGTTTATAGATACAAAAAATAGAATCTTGTATTTTCTATGCTCAAAAATATAATTTCACTGCTACTAATCTGTTTTGAAATCTGTTCCTTTATTATCATAATTATTTTATTGTCAAAATTAAGTTTTACTGTTCCAAATTTATCTTTTATTAACTAGGTTTTAAAAATTTACTATCTTCTTTGGGAGAATTTCCTAAGTTTTTTTTCACATTGGAGAAAAAACCGAAAAACTTCCCTTCCATTTACATATTGAATATATCAAATTACAAAAGCTTGATTGGACTTTAACTAAGTAAAAATCTACAATTATTTTTTTAAGGTTCAGATGACTCTACTAGAGCAATTAAAACTCAGAGTTAATCAAAGAAAGAAAGTAGACATAGTTTCAACATTGTCTGTGCTGGTTTGCCTTCCTCCTTTTCATATTTGTTTTCAAATGTTATATGAAATTACTTTCAATTTTATATTTTATTTATTTTAAAATTTTTATTTTACAATTTAATTTTATTATTTTATTTTACTTTCATCATCATCACCTATAAAATGATTCCTCCAAATCAAATAATTTATTTATTTTTTTAAATTTTGTTTTTTATCATTACATTTGATACATTTTTCAATTTCTCTCTTGTTACTTAGGATCAGTCTCATTTAATTGTAGCACAGATGCTTTTAACTAGTTCAAATAATAAATTTTTCTTCTCTCTGAAAATAGTTACACCTATGGCCACCAAGAACAGCATCTGTTGCCTTCCCCTATTTGTATATTGGTCAAACTGCCCTTGATTTATCTTTTTTCCATTGGTTTGTGTCTCAGATTCACTAGCCATCAAAATTATGCACACTCATGTCTCAATTCACTGTAATGGAATCCAATGGGTGCTAAGGGATGAGTCTCTGTGGTAGCCCTGATTGAAACTCACCAGCGTCCTGGGTAAGATGATAAACTACATCTGTATCCTGGGTAAGACGATAAAATACATCCAACAGCAAGGCCACTGATCAGGAGGCTTTGAGGAGTGTGGAACCACCTCTTAATTGCTGGTGTTCCCAGATCCACTCTAAATCGTGGTGGTAGGACCTGTTAGGGTCCCCACTATAAATCTTTGAAGCACTTTTCGAAAAAATATTGCCATCAATACATTTTGGAAAAAAATATTACTATCAATACATTTTTGAAGGAAAAATATTCCCAGCAATAAAAATCTTCTTGGAATTAATTAACCCATTGAAGTATTGCTATGTAGTAAAACAAAACAAACCAATCAAAGTCACCAGAAACTAATGGCAGTGAGTGGATTCAGTTGGCGATTACTATTTTGAAAACCAAACAATGGTGATAAAACTAAATGTATACTGTGATATTACTGTTGGCCTTTTGTCTAATAAAGGTTCAATTGCCTCTTGTGCTTGCAGGCCATGTTCCATTAACGGCAAGCAGGCACTCAAGCCATCTGTAAAATTATTTTTTTCTTCACAGTTCTATACCATAAAACCAATTACATAGAAATGATGAAAAAGAAGAGAAAGCTTGTCATAAATATGAAGAGAGAAACTAATCAACAAAAAATGAGGCATAAATTAGAAAGATGAACTTGTAAAGAGTTAAAGAAAGTATAAGGAATGCTTGAAACAAGTCTAATCCACAACCCACGTAAGCAGTAATTAAAGCGCTGGTGGTGGTGGTGATGATATGTAAACTGTGATCTTCAAAAGATTTTATAAGTTCTTTTCTCAATGGGTCTATATTATATAATGGCTTTGGAACTAAGCAATCATAAAGTAAATTTAGAGTATTTTACAAAGAAGGTAAAAATAAACAAACACAGTAAGTGTAACTTTATATGGTTTAATCCACTTTTTAATCATAATGTCCAAACTAATCTCAGAGGAATTTTCCTAAAATTAATTTAAAAGCACTTTAATCATTCACCATCGCCAAAAAAGATTTTTAACAAAAATGTTAAAATCAGCTAAAGCTGCATTAGTAACATTAATAAATCTATATCCCAATTTAACAAATAAATATATTTCCAACAAAGATAACATAAATTTTTCTAAAAATAAATGCTAGTAATATATTTAACTGCACGAACATTGCAATGACCAGATACATATATTTTTTAAATTCAATTTACATAACAGTCCATACTCAGCACCTGATGATTGTGTCATGCATGAAACTCTGAGTCCTGTTAGCATTATTTTTAATAGATCTGTTGTATTACATCGAACACTGTTTTATTAACACCAGCACTTTACTTTATGTGCAATATATTTTATATATATATATATAACATGTTGTAAATTTGAATAAATATTATTAGCTCTACTCAGTATTGAGCACTCTTTTAAGAACAGTATTTTTGGTTATTGGAATTTTATTCCATGTGTACCAACCCTGTACTTTGTGGGTATTTGTGTGTGTGTATATATATATATGTATATGTATGTATATATCAGAAATTTTACTTTTCCAGTGCATTTTGTTCCTTCAGAATCTTCATCAAAAATAAAATGAGATTTATTAAGAAAAACTTGTGTTTGTAGACATAAAATATTCTTTGAGTGGAATTTGAACACATAACATTATTTTCTCAAAGATACTTTTTTGTATGAACAAATCCAGGTTTCTCTAAATAAATCTCTGCATTTTACCTTTGATAAAAGTTCTGAAGGAATGAAACATATTGCAAAGATAAGTTTTCCTATTTTGCCAGTTTATTTTATATATGTGATTATCCACACAAAAATACATATTAATAAGAGATGCTATTTTTTTTCTTTTCCTCTCTCCATTGTATCAGTGGTTTTTGCTCCTATTGTCTTTACCCACTGTTAGTTTTTGTGCGCAACACAGATTTTAACTATTATTCCATTCACTATATTCCTTGTCTATAGATCTCTATTATTATCCGAGCCTGCAACTGTTTTGGAGATTATATAATTTGCTGATTTTTATGATCAATAATTTTTTTCCATCTTTCCTGCTGCAATACCAATCTAGCAATTGTTGTTTATATTCTCAAATTTCAGTTTCCTTTTACACTTGGAAAATTAGGTATTTTTTTTCTTTGATAATAGATGTGGTCTTTATTGATATCAATGCAATTAATTGTTTTCCACAAAGAGTGAATGATTTTACTGAAAGTACCTCATTAATCAGCTTTATAAAAACATTAAATTAGCCAGGCTTTATCATTCCACATCTTATATGACGTTAGAATGATATAAATATTTTAAAACGTAGCACAGGAAATAATTTTTATTTGAAAACAAGAAATTTCTTTTTCTTCAGAAATAAATAAATTGAAACACAAACTTATGTTACAGTTGTGTGTGTGTGTATATATATATATATATATATATATATATATATATATATATATATACACATGCACACATATATATCCAGGTAAGTTGAGAAATGAACAGAGTACAATTCTAGTGTTCATAATTTAAAACAGGGCTCAATGCAAAGTAGAGCAGTATTATTTATTTTAGGATATTACACCGAAACATGTTAAAATCACTACACAATTGCAGTCATGTTTCAATGCATATCAATGTATCTCATCAGGTAAATTACTGGCAAGTGAACGATTTATTTAGGTTTAAAATTGCCTTTGAATCTAAGTAATTGCCCACGCCAGGGAATCACCTGATGAGATGCATTGATACACATTGAAACACAACTGGAATTGTGTAGTGATTTTGACATGTTTTCAATGTAATATCCTAAAATAAATTATATATATATATTTTACTAACTTAGCCTAGCCTGACACAAGGCTATAATATTGAAGGATGCTTTGTATCAGACTGAGATGCAGTGGCATATGAAACTAATTTGCTTATTTCAAGACATTGAATAGGATTAAACTGCCTAATTTGCCACACTGCTGCATTCAGTGAATATTGAATTCCCTTACTATGATTTATATAATAAACTTACTAATTATTGCTCTGTCTTGTGCCTTCACCCCCCCTATATATATATATATATATATATATATATATTGTGTGTATTTAGGCAGCATTTTTTCATTCATATATGTTTCATTATGTAAGCCAAAAGCTTAGATTGGATTAAAAAATATGTATCAATATTGTGATTTTCCTTCTTCGTTTAATGATAATGTTATTCAGCTTATCAGACGTCATGAAAAGAATTTACATAAAATAGACAACACTTGTCTATATTATTTAATGAAACCTGTATGAATGCATATATATATATATATATATATATATATATATATATATATATATATACTAACTGAGATACCTGGTGTTGCCCAGGTGTACATGGCTGCTATTGTATAACTGCACCCCCCTGTATACCAGCATCCCCCTATCTAGAAA